GTCCTAATGAAAATGAAATTTTACAAGTAATGAAACCACTACAAGCCTCCAACATTCTTATTAACAACCTTACCCCCACTCTCTGAAAAGCGGGGAGAAAGAGATGGGATACCAAGCTGGCCAGGGGAAAAACAAATAGAGCCATTTCAAAGCTTTATCTGATTACCCCCACTGAGACTTTTCCTCTTCGTCTGGCTGGCTGACAAAGACTCGTGGGGCTTTTGACTGGGCCCTCTCCACCCTGTCAGGACCACCCGCCCTGGCGGAGTCTGAAAGGCCTCAGGTGAATCCCGCAAGAGCAGCCAGTACCCAGTCTGGGGACTTTACAGAGGCTTTCAAATTCTATTAGCACTGCTTGCTTGAATCACACTGAACAAACAGTCTCCACCCTCTCCCACTTCTTTTGTCTAAAGCACCTATTCACAGGCAGCCACCTTTACTGATGGGCAGACTGGCTCACCTGTACCCGAAGTACCATCAGAAACAAGATGCACCAGTAGCTGGAAGGAACAGCTCCCTGCGCCCTCCTCCCTGGCTTCCCTCCCTCCACCCCACCCCACCCCATCTCCACCAACCAAATGCCAGCTACACTCGCTTGGCTCCCGTTCACACCAACAGTGAACACCCAGGGAAGGTGACATAGAAACAGAGACCAGCACGGTGGATGACACTGTCCCACAGGGCAGCTAACCGAAAAGGAAAAAGTCCATCACCCTCAGGCCCCATCTTCCTCATTCTGCACTTCAGTCATCATGAAAACACAGCAGATGGTTTTCCTCTCTGTATTCTGCCTTCCATGGGAGTGGGGGAAATTAAAAATAAGTGATGCATTTCAGAAAGCACATCATATGCCTCCCTCTGGGTTTCACATGGTACACCTTTTACCTCTGATTTATGGGGAGACCCCCCAGGGCGTGGAAATCAGTCTGACCCCTGCTTTTTGAAGACAGCCATGGCTATTTCTACTCAAAAACCACTTTCTAAGTCTAAAAAGAGAAAGAAAACTCATTTACCCTGCCTTCCTCCCCCTCAGAAGAACCCACCTAATTTCCTAATTATATTTGGATAAAAAATATCACCCAGTTTTACCCGTTCAGTTAGGTCAGATGTGGAAGTAACCTGGAAGCGGGGAAATTTTTGAGTTGTAGTGGGCTTGCCTTTCAACCAAGAGATGATGGTTACCAACCAGGACTTCAGTTAGATTGCAACCCTTTTATCTCATTGAAAAACTGCAAGATTCTTGAAGTGTTGTTTTTGAACACTTCTTTCCAAAGATACTCTATACCTCATGTAATTATTTTTCTAAGGGTATTAAGAACGGGGCTGAAATAAACTGAGATGGGGAGGTGAGTGAAAAAGAGGAGCCCTATGAAAACCTAATCTAATCTCAGGAAAGGGGTCAGAAGACTATTGTCCTGTTATCAGGGGAGACTATATTGCATACTTTCTACTGATAATATACTGTATTTCTATCTTTTGAATGCAAACCTGTTTAATAAAGAGCAAAATAAGACATCACTTTATGAATTACGCAGGTTTTCCAAAATAAACTAAGCAATCTGTTATTCATAAATGAAATAAAGTGATGTTGCCCGCACATTTCTTAGGGCATGGAGGATTTAACCTGAACACACAGGGAGCAGACAAGAAGTCCGCCCAGACAGGCTGCCATCTGACACCAGAGTTGGTCAGAGAGCATGAACTTCAATTAAAAGACACTTACAGTAGGGGGAGGGTATAGCTCAATGGTAGGGTGCGTGCCTAGCATGCACGAGGTCCAGGGTTCAAACCCCAGTATCACCATTTAAAATAAATAAACAAATAAACAAACAAACCAATCTGATCACCTCCCCCCCAACAACAACAACAAAAAAGCCACTTACTTACAAAAGAAAGATCATTTAAATGTGATAACAAAAACAAAACAAACTTAACATCCTTCTTTCCTAGGTCAGAAGACATGGAGAATTCAGAAATTGATTAAATCTACTTAAATAATGTAAAACAGGGGAGAACTCCTTTTCAAAAATGCTTTGGTTAATTTTAGCATCCTTCTGTTTAGCTGCTTAGCAACCCTTATCCTATGACCTTTTAAGCACCACCTACTTTTCAGAAGGATAATGAATAGAAACATCAAAAGGATGCACTTCTGACTAGTACTAGTAAGCGCGTTGAACCAATTTTTGCAGGAGTTTAATTTACATTAATTATGCCATACAAAACCCTAAAAGGGTAGAATTTTTTCTCAACTTCATTAGCCGAGAAATTTCCTTTGCTGAAGGTAAGTAATAAATAATGTCAGCAACTGAGCCTAAGACAGCCAGCAAAAATTTCCAAGCAGATCTTAGGAAGTGGACCAGCACAGCAGTTCAAAACTGAGGAGCGAAAAATGGAAGCCTCATAATAGCAACTACCTAGGGCCAGGCACAGAGCAGGTAACCAACAACTGTGGATGGGATACAGACTAACTTGGTAGGTTGATGATACTCCTTCAGTATTCTGTACCTGTGCTGGATGCAAAGGAGCCCTCAGGGGGCTGCCTGAAGACACCTGAAACAGAAGACCCTTCAATCAAAAGGTCACTTGTGCGATGATGTAAACAGTGAATGCACCACCTGCGGCAGCTGAGTCAGACAGACCCATCTTCGCCATCACATAACAAATGCTTGTCTGATCTAAGGGCTGAAGCTCTGAATTTCTGATGAGAAATAAACTAGTATCTAGGAAAACCCAGACAAGAGGCCAACAAGAGTAAATGTCAGCAACATTTCTTAAGAACATCACATCACCAGCCAATCCTCTTTGAAAACAAAACATCCTAAAATGCAACCCGTGTTAACAGTATTTTTAAGGATGATAGAACAGTGTAAGTTCATTAACCACCTAAAATGGAGCACAAGATAAACACATAACTAAATCAAAGGGCTCTCCCTTTCTTTTGTTAAAAGGGGGGTAGGGGGTGGGAGGGAAGGTGTTTTTTCACACTTTTAAAACTTGATAAAAGCCATTCAAATGTTTAATTCATCAGTGTAACCAAAGCTCAAAACACATCAAAGCAGGATCCATCAGCGGGTACCCAGAAGCTCCCTCCAAAGGGCAAAGGTAAAAGAAAAAAGAAAAAAAAACACTAAAATCAGTGGCTCACCTTTGCATAAATTAGAATAATTTCGAACTCACTCCTTCAAAAGTTCTGTGTGCCTCTTGAAGGAAGCAAAGAACTAAATGTTTAAAAAAAAGAAAGAGGAAAGAAAAAAGAAGTTTCAGCCAGGACTTCAGCCTCTAACTCAAGACTTCCGGGTTACATATGTCTTAGAACCATACCTGCCTCCTCGAAAAGCACCAGACCTAGAGGATGCTTTTAAGGGCCATGGGGAGAAAGGAAAAGAAAAAAGAAAAGGAGAAGAAAAGGAGAAGAGAAGAGAAGAGAAGAGAGAGA